TATTCCCTGGAAAACTAAGCTTCATATATGAAGGAGAAATAAAGACATTCTCAGACAAGCAAAGGCTCATAGAATTCACCAAGACAAGACCAGCCCTACAAGAAGTACTCAAAACAGCATTATGCACGGAACATCATAATAATAACCCACGAATATAAAAACAACCAAAACCCAAAGATTAAAGGCCAGATATTACAATGGCTCAAGACAGAAATCATAGCAACAACATCCAACCCGACAGAATGAACAGTAATCTACCTTACCTATCAGTTCTCTCAATAAATGTGAATGGCTTAAACTCTCTACTAAAGAGACATAGGTTGGCTGAATGGATAAGAAAATACAGGCCAAGTATATGCTGTCTTCAGGAAACACATCTAACCTGCAATGATGCATATAGACTAAAAATAAAAGGGTGGAGATCAGTATTCCAAGCAAATGGAAGCCAAAAGAAGGCTGGCGTGGCAGTTCTAATTTCAGACGATTTAGTTTTTAAAGCAACAAAAGTAGTGAAAGACAAAGAGGGTCATTATATAATGGTGAAGGGCACAGTTCAACAAGAAGAGATAACAATTTTAAATATATATGTACCCAACTTAGGTGCACCCAGATTCATAAAGCAAACCTTATTGGAGCTAAGCAAATGGATTAATAGCAACTCCATAATCACCGGAGATTTCAATACCCCACTGACGGCACAAGACAGATCCTCCAAACAGAAAATTAATAAAGAAATAATGGACTTAAACAAAACTCTAGAACATTGGGTCTGACTGACATTTACAGAACATTCTACCCAAAATCCACTGAATATACGTTCTTCTCATCAGCACACGGGACATTCTCTAAGATTGACCATATCCTAGAACACAAAGTAAACTTCAAGAAATTTAAAAAATAGAAATCATACCATGTATCTTCTCAGATCACAGTGGAATAAAAGTAGAAGTCAACCCTAACAGAAACTCACATTTCTACACAAAAACGTGGAAATTAAACAACCTCCTACTAAATGATTACTTCATAAATGAAGAAATCAACCCAGGCCTTGCTAAAAATCTCGATATACAAATTCAAGAAGCTCAGAGGACCCCTGGGAGATTCAATGCAAACAGGAAGACGTCACGACATGCAGTCATCAGACTGACCAAAATATTAACTAAAGAGGCCTTTCTTAAGAGCTGTAAGACGAAAGAAGCAAGTAACATACAAGGGAAATCCAATTCGAATAACACCAGACTTCTCTGAGACTTTATAAGCAAGGAGAGACTGGGTCCATTCTCACTCTTGAAACAAAACAATGCCCAGCCTAGGATATTCAATAAAAAAATTCTATGAAGAAAATGACAATGGAGAGACAAGTTATCAAGTCCTCTGGGACACAGCTAAAGCAGTTATGAGAGGAAAGTTTATCTCCATAATGCCTATAACCAAAAGTCAAAAAGATCACAAATAGACAATCTAATGAAAACAACTCAAAGAGCTGGAAAAGAAGAACAGACAAGCCCAAACCCAGCAGAAGAAGTGAAATTAACAAGATCAAATCAGAACTAAACGAAAATGAAAACAGGGAAGCTATTCAGGAGATTAATAAAACAAAAATTTGGTTCTTTGAAAAAATAAAATTGACACGCCACTGGCTAAGCTAACGAAAAGCAGAAAAGAGAAATCTCTAATAAGCTCCATCAGGAATAAAAAAGGAGATATCACAGCTGATCCCAAAGAGATACAAGATATAACTTATGAATACTACAAAAATCTTTATTCACACAAATTGGAAAATGTGGAGGAAATGGACAAATTTCTAGAAACACACAGCCTCCCTAGGCTCAATCAGGAAGAAATAGCTTCCCTGAACAGACCAATCTCAATAGCTGAAATAGAAACAGCAATTAAAAATCTCCCTAAAAAGAAAAGTCCCAGTCCAGATGGCTTCACACCCAAATTTTACCACACTTACAAATAAGAACTAGTACCTATCCTGCAGAAACTATTCCACAACATCGAGAAGAACGGAAACCTCCCGGACACCTTTTATGAAGCGAATATTACTCTGATACCAAAACCAGGAAAGGATGCAACAAAAAAAAAAGAAAACTACAGACCAATATCCCTAATGAATATAGTTGCAAAAATTTTCAACAAAATCTTAGCTAACCGAATCCAGACGCTTATCAAAAAATAATCCATCACGACCAAGTGGGCTTAATCCCAGGGATGCAGGGATGGTTCAACATACCTAAATCTATAAATGCAATTCACCACATAAACAAAAGCAAAAAACAAAGACCACGTTATTCTTCAAAGATGCAGAAAAAGCTTTTGACAAAATTCAACACCCTTTCATGATACGAACCTTAAAAAATAGCCTAGAAGGGCACATACTAAAGAATGATACACAGCATATATGACAGACGCATAGCCAACATCATACTGAAGGGGGAAAAATTGAAATCATTCCCACTTAGAACTGGAACAAGGCTGCCCACTATCTCCACTTCTGTTCAACATAGTGCTGGAAGTCCTGGCTACAGCAATCAGACAGGAAAGTGGAATTAAAGGTATCCAAATAGGGGCAGAAGAGATCAAACTTTCAGTGTTTGCTGATGATATTATATTATATTTGTTAGAAAACCCCAAAAGATTTCAACCAAGAAAACTCCTGGGAACTGATCAATGAATTTAGTAAAGTCTCAGGATACAAAATCAATACACAGAAATCAGAGGCATTCGTATACGCCAACAACAATCAAATTGAGAACCAAACTAAAGACTCAATACTCTACAAAATAGCAACAAAGAAATTAAAGTACCTAGGAGTATACTTAACCAAGGAGGTAAAAGACCTCTACAGGGAGAACGATGAAATACTGAGGAAGGAAAATAGCGAGATGGATGTTAAACAGATGGAAATCCATACCATGTCGTGGATCGGCAGATCTCAACATTCATTAAAATGTCTATACTACCCAAACTGATCTACAGATTCAATGCAAATGCCTATTAAAAAATCCCATCAGCATTCTTCACAGATATAGAAAAAATAATTTTATGCTTCGTATGGGAACCAAAGAAGATTCCCGAATACAAGACAAAATCTAGGCAACAAAAACAAAAATGGGAGAGGTATTAATATGCCAGATATCAAACTATACTACAAAGCTGGTAAAATTAAAACAATCTGGTATTGCACAAAAAATAGGAATATTGACCACTGGAACAGATGTGAGAATCCTGATATAAAAACCATCCTCATATAGCCATCTAATCTTTGACAAGCAGACAAAAACATACGCTGGGGAAAAGAATCCCTTTTCAATAAATGGTGCTGGGAAAACTGGATAGCCACTTGTAGAAGGCTAAAGCAGGACCCATACCTTTCACCTCTCACAAAAATCAACTCACGCTGGATAATAGATTTAAACCTAAGGTACGAAACTATTAGAATTCTAGAGGAAAATGTTGGAAACACTCTCTTAGACATCGGCCTAGGCAAAGAGTTTATGAAGAAGTCCCCAAGGCAATCAAAGCAGCAACAAAAATAAATAACATGGACATGATGAAACTAAAAAAGCTGCTGCACAGCCAAAGAAACAGTCATGAAAGTAAACAGGACAACCTACAGGAATGGGGAGAAATTTTTGCATTCCTACGTATCCGATAAAGGGCTGATAACTAGAATATACTTAGAACTCAGAAAATCAGCAAGAAAAATATCAATAACCCTATTAAAAAGGTGGGCAAAGACTTGAACAGAAACTTGTCTCTAAAGAAGACAGAAGAGGAGGCCAACAAACATGTGAAAAAAATGCTCGATCATCTTAATCACAGGGAAATGCAAATCAAAACTACAATGAGATATCAACTTAACTCCAGTGAGAATGGCCTTTATCGAAGTCTCCAAATAACAAATGCTGGTGTGGATGCGGAGAGAGAGGAACACTCCTACGCTGCTGGTGGATGCAAACTAGTTCACCTCTGTGGAAAGTAATATGGGAGATACCTTAAAGCCATACAATGTGAATCTACCATTCTGATCCAGCAATCCCATTGCTGGGCACTACCAAAAGATCCAATGACACTCTACAAAAAAGACACCTGCACTCGAATGTTTATAGCAGCACAATTCATAATTGCCAAGGCTGTGGGAAACAGCCCAAGTGGCCATCAATCCAAGACATGGATTAATAAAATGTGGTATATGTTATACCATGGATACTATTCAGCTCTAAGAAACAACGGTGATATAGCACCTTATATTTCCTGGTTAGAGCTGGAACCCATACTACTAAGTGAAGTATCCCAAGAATGTGAAAAACAAGCAAGCACCACATATACTCACCAGCAAACTGGTATTAACTGAGCAGCACCTAAGTGGACACATAGGTACTACAGTAATAGGGTATTGGGCAGGGGGGTGGGGGAGGGGAGCGGGTATATACATACATAATGAGTGAGATGTGCACCGTCTGGGGGATGGTCATGCTGGAAACTCAGACTTGTGGGGGGATGGGGGAAAGGGCATTTATTGAAACCTTAAAATCTGTACCCCCATAATATGCCGAAATAAAAAAAAACATAAATGACAGTTTGATCAAAGATTTTATTTAACTAATTAGTAAGGGAATCAGTAAGATATGAAAACCAGTTCAAGGAGAATCTGAAGAAGTGACCCATATATGGCCGTCAGGACTACTGAAATGAATTTATTAATAATTCATAACTTGTCATTAGCCCCAGGGCAATAATTGGCTACATCTCCATTGGACAAAATATATTTGCATATTTATGAACAATGATAATTTGCATTATTATCAATTTTTTATAAATTACAGGGTTGTAAAATAGCACAAAGACCATGAAAGACATAGTCCCTGGTATAAAATTAGACAATCACAGAAGAGTATGTTTTACAACACCCAGTATTCCATTGAAAAGACAATTTAGTAATCTTTTTGTCCTTTACAATTTTTCCTGATATATGGTATTGATTTCTGTAGAAGGACTACCCCATTTTATTCAAGAATGGAACTCTGAAGCTTGGAGGGGAAAGAGAACCTACTCCTCGGCCAAAAAAATGGCCTATTGCCAACATTCTGGCTCCGGGAGCTAATAACATTCCTGATGCATTCATCCTTGGTGGTCCTTATGAGGAAGAAGAAGGAGAACTCAACCACCCTGAGGTGAGAGAGAGTCTGAATTATGCAGGTTTTTGTGATAAACTCAGTGTACTGACATGATAAAACATTTTGTGAATCACTAATTTACATACATCTGTCACCTGTCAAAATAAAACAATTACCACTTGGCAAAATAAAATTCTTATTCATCTAATTCTGATGAAAATGCCTTCTGACTTCTTAAGCCAAGCAAACAAAATAATTTAAATCAAATTTTCTCCTTATTTTGTTTTAAATTTATTTATTTATAAATATGTAATAATCAGTCACAATTCAAAATAAAAGATTAAGATATACACAGTGAAGTCTTCCTCCTACCCATGTCTTTCCTTCCTAATTCCTTCCCATTTCATTACCCTAATAGTCACCTATATTATAGTTTCTTGTGTTTTCTTCTAGGTTTTTTATGCATATAAAAGCAAATATACCAGGGTGTCTGGAAAGTGTCCAGCTATTGTATCCATATATCCAGTATCCATAGCTAGATACTTTTCCAAATAGCCCTGGTATAAAGCCAAAGGAAGACTCCGAGACAGAAGCATTTAGAAAAGTAAAGAAAAAGTTTCCTTACAAATTGTGAAAGGGAGTCAGACTTCAGAAGGACTGGCTCACCAAATAAAAAATCACAAGTACACTATTCTCTCTGTATACTCAGTGGATTGGTTCTAGGATCTCTTGTATATACCAAAATCTACACATACTCCAGTCCTGCAGTGGGCTCTGCAGAACTCATGTATATGAAAAATTAGCCTTCTGTAAATGCAGGTTTCACATCCCACTGATACTATATTTTCGATCCATGTTTGGTTGAAAAAAGATCCACCTGTAAGTGGACCTATGGAGTTCAAACCTGTATTGTTCAAGGATCAAATATACTTAAAAGAAAACAACACAAAATTACCAAGGTTACCATGTTTACATTAGTCTGTTCATGATGGAAAAACTATAGATTTTTCATTTGATTCTCAGATTTCAAATGTCATAAAATATCTTCAGACATCAGCATAATAAAAGTCATAGATAAAAGTAGTTTTAAAACTACTGACTTTTTGAAACTGACTTTTATTTTACGGGAAGTATTCAAATCCTTGTTATTTTCAGAACTAGAACCTGTCAGGAAGACACTGCTATTTTTGCTTTATCTTAGAGTATAAAGTGTTCTTGTTTTTTGCTTTTTAAATTGGTTATATAAAGTGCATAATCACACATACACACACTAACACACACACACATATATGTATTATATATATATATATATTCTTTTGCCATCATTTTTTCCCACAAATTTAAAGGTTTGCATACGCCTTTATGCATCTTGCTTTGTTTTACTTTATAGCGTGTCTTGAAGATTTTCCACATTACTACATAAATAACATTCTCATTCTTTTTCTTTCTTTGTCTATGCCTTGCTGTATGATGTGGCATTGTATGGACACACTTTAATACTTATTAATTATTATTTATTAATATACATAACCAGTCTCCTCTTGGTTTTTGAAATTATCTACCTCTTCCTTTTTTTGGGGGGGGGGCCCAAACCACGTGGCTTTATTATACACTCGTGGACAAGGTTCTGGGGCCCCAAGAGCGGGGGGGGGGGGGGGGGGAAGTCACTATCTACTTCTTTCTTAAACCTGTTTTATTACAACACATTTGTCTTTCCTTCCTTTCCTTTCCCTTTCCCTTTCTCATTCCCTTTCCCCTTTCCTTTCCTTTCCTTTCCTTTCCTTTCCTTTCCTTTCCTTTCCTTTCCTTTCCTTTCCTTTCCTTTCCTTTCCTTTCCTTTCCTTTCCTCTCCTTTCCTTCTCCTTTCCTTCTCCTTTCCTTCTCCTTTCCTTCTCCTTTCCTTCTCCTTTCCTTCTCCTTTCCTTCTCCTTTCCTTCTCCTTTCCTCTCCCCTTCTGTTCCCTTCACTTTTCAAAGTCAGGTGTGGTGGTGCGTGCCTGTAGTCCTAACTACTCAGAAGGCTGAGGCAGGTTTTGAACTTGCTTAGGCTGGTTTCGAACTCCTGGCCTCAAGGAATCCTCCACCTCAGCCTCTCAAAGTGCTAGGAGTACAGGTGTGAGCCACCATGCCTGGCAACAACGCAAATTTGTGAAGGGCATAAGAAATGGTGTAAATATACTTGCAGATGTTCTTAAACTAGCTGATAATCATTGGTGGAAACATTCAATAAAATAATTTGTACAATGAGGGTGGTGAAATTATTTATCATTGGCTATAATTATTTTAAATAGTACAGGACAGGCATGGTGGCTGATGCCTGTAATCCTAACACTTTGGGAGGCTGAGGTGGGAGGATTGCTTGAGCTCAGAAGTTTGAGACCAGCCTGAGCAAGAGTGAGACCCCATCTCTATTTAGAAAAATTAAATTAAGTTTACAAAAATAAAATAGTATAGATAAGGCTGGCAATATTGGATAAACACTATGCAGTATCCTTTCTTATCATTGTGATTAGTGAAAATTCATACTTTCCTTAGATTTATCTTTTAATTAGGGTAGATATTTTATTGTATATATTTAGATTTCATATTTTAGTTTAGATCATTAATTCTCACCCCTGATTGCACATTACAATCACCAGGAAAGCTTTCAAAACAGTAACAATGGCCATCCCTTAACCAAGATGAATTATGTAAGAATTTACTTTTAAAAAATATCAATGCCCATCTACCTGTGAAATTAATATCTGTAAAAAAATATCAATGCCCAGGTGTTGATTTTTTCAAAGTTCCCTGATGATTTTAATATGCATCAAGGGTTGAGAATCACCGATTGAGGTTACATGAGTGAATATTTGGCACTTAGAACTGGATTGATGTAAGGATTATACACATAGTTTATCCTATATACTTTATTAATAAAGTATGTATAGTTTGAAGGTGGTAGTAGCAGCAATAGTAGTCATACTTACAGTAGTAATAAAAGCATTGTGATCAAATCTATTAAAAGAATGCCCCTCAGGTTGAACAGGATGAAACCGTGGCACACACAGAAAATAGAAGTTTCTGTTTTATTATTTTATAGGACAAAGAATTTAGGAACCAAGCAGAGTGCATGAAGAAAAGGATTGTTTGGGACTTGGAAAGTCGCTGCTATCTTGATCCTCCTGCAGTGGTCAGGTAGGGAGAGGAAGGGAATATGTCTAGCCAACAAAGGTTGTAGGTGGGCAGAAGTATCACTTTTGTTAATTCTATTTATATTTGAGTTAAGGTGATTTGAGACTTTTTCTTTCACCACACCTATATCAGACACTGTGTTCATCTGTTAAAAACAGTGGCGCCAAGCTGGGCATGGTGGCTTATACCTGTAATCCCAGATACATAGGAGGATCTCTTGAGGCTAGAAGTTTGAGACTTCTAGCCGGGGCAATACAGCGAGACCCCCAACTCAAAAAACAAACAAACAAAAAACAGAGGCTCCTGGTGATGGTGGCCTAACAAAGGTGAATGCTTATTTCTCTTTTATATGAAAGAAGTCCAGAACTGATTACATGGTGTCATCGGTTATTAAACAAGCTCAATCTTTCTTTTACTTCTACCTTCTTTAATATGTGCCTTCCTTCTACAAGATTGTCTCATGATTCAATGATGGCTGCAGGAGCTCCAGCCTACACACTCAAATTCCTGGGAGAAATTGGAAGAGGGGACTGGTTATGGATAAAAAAGTACACATGCTAGCTGTCTTAGCCCCTCTTATAGAACCTTCCTGGAAATGGCAACTTCTGTTTACATCTCAGTAGCTATCTCAAGATACAAGAAAGTCTAGAAAATAAAGTGTTTTAGTTGGACACATTGTCACTCAGGCTAAATCAGGATTTAATTGCTAAAGAAAAGGACAGCAATATTGTGTAGGTAACTATCAGTCTCTGTCACAGTGACCTGGTGATTAGGGAGAGATAACAAACAAGATTATCAATATATGTTTAATCTGAATGAATAGCTGTGATTTTTAAAAATTAATAGACAATCTTTTAGAATAGTTCTAAATTTATAGGCAAATTGAGTAGATATTTTAGAGAGTTTTTATATATGCTTCGTCTCCCACTTGGTCATGGTGTGTAATTCTTTTTACACATTGTTGGATTTGATTTGATGATATTTTACTGAGGATACATTATTGCTATTATTACTTTGAACACATAGTTATCTGTTAGATCAATTAAGAATAAGAAACATATAAGGACTAGCACATATAAAAAATAGAAAAAAAAGAATAAGAAACACTAAAAATTTATTTTATATTAATTTGTGACATTTTCTGATGCTCTTCCTTTCATTATGTGGACCTGAGTTTTTGACCCATGCCATCTTTCTTCTCTCTGAAGAACTTTTAATATTTCTTACAAGGCAAGCCTACTGAGCATTTTTGTTTGTCTGAGAAAGTCTATTTCTCCTATTTGAAGGATAATTCCAATGGGTATAGAATTTTAGGTTGGTGGGTTTTTTCTTTCAAATATTTAAATATTTTACTCCACTATCTTCTTGCTTGTATAATTTCTGAAAAGAAGTCCAATGTAATTCTTATCTTTGTTACTATAAAGGTAAGGGTTTTTTTTACCTTTGGTATCTTTCAAGATTTTCTCTTTGTTTTTGTTTTTTGCAATTTTGTTGTGATATGCCTAGGTATAGACTTTTTTTTTTGTAATTATTCTGCTTGGTTTTCTCTGAGTTTCTTGGATCTGTACTTTGGTGTCTGTCATTAATTTGGGAAACTTCTCAGCCATTATTTTTTCTAATATTTTTTCTTTCTTCTCCTTCTGGTATTCCTGTTATGACTAGTTATACCTTTTGTAATTGTTCCACAGTTCTTGAACATTCTGTTATGATTTCTTTTTCTCTTTCCATTTCAGTTTGGGAAGTTTCTATTCATATATCTTCAAGCTCACTGATTCTTTCCTTTAGCTGTGTCTAGTCCACTGACAAGCTCATCAAATGAATTATTCATTTTTTAAAATGTTTTTTATTTCTAGCATTTCCTTTTGATTCTTTCTTAGATTTTCCATCTCTGTGCTTACATTACCCACTGTTCTTACATGTTGACTACTTTTTCCATTAGAGCCCTTAACATATTAATCATAGTTTTTTAAAATCCCCTATCTGATAATGCCAAAATATGTGTCAATCTGATTCTAGTTTGTATGCTAGTGTTATCTCTTCAGACTGTATTTCTTCTTGCCTCTTAGCATTCTTTTGTAATTTTTTATTGATACATGGACATTATGTATTGGGTGATAGGAATTGAAGTAACTAGGGTTTGTAGTGTGAGGTTTTATGTTAAGCTGGCTAGGAGCTGGGCTATGTTTAATGTTTGCTGTGGTTCTAAGTGCTAGAGGCCAGTTTCCTGCCCCCACCCCCTGTTTTCTGTGGGTTTGTCTCAGAACTCCTTCTTTATAGAATCTGTGTTTTGCAGTCCTCTCTGTTGTAATCCACTGTTATTAGGTTGGAACCCTGTTGGTATGGTGGCAAATTGTGGGGAAATTGTTCTATAATCCTATGATTAAATCTCAGTATTTTAATGGGCTTGAGTCTCTGGGCTGTGACTTTCAGAAGTGTTTCCTAGTCTTTTATTCTTCTTCTCCTTATATGAGACAAGAAGTCTAGACAGAGCTGGAGTTGTCTGATTGCCATTGCCTCAGATCAGATAAGGCTCTGGGTAAGTAGTTTCCCTTAAAGGTCAGGCCTTTGATATTGTCAGCTTAAAATCTTGAGACCTACACATTTAGAAGGAGAGCTTTATTTCTTATAAAGTATTGCAGAAAGCTTTACTTATTATAAAGAGTTGCAGCCTGTAGAGACCAAAAGTAGGCACTTCAAAAGAGGAAGAATGAGACAGGAATTTATGCTGAATGGGGACAACTAAGTATACATATCTAATAGGTTATAGGAGGAGCTATGAATATTCACAAAGGGGGGCACACGCAGGTATAGTAGGCAAACATGCATATTCCCTACATCCATGTTCACTTTGGGGTGTAGATTTAACATTTAAAAGCAGTAAACTTAGGCTATGTACATCAAGAGGTAAAATGAAGGACACAGAGGCACCCTACGCGTAGCCTCTGTGCATTAGCCAGAACCAGTGTGTGGTTGGTGGTCACTTATCAAGAAGCAATACTGGTCAGTTGTTGTGTTGAAACTGCAAAAAGGGAGAGGAGTCCAGCTGCAGTGTCAGGTGGTTGGTTAAAATCAGTGGTGGAGCAAGTCTTTCAAAAGGGCTGGTTTCTGTTTAAGTCTTAGGAAAGGAAATCTAATGGCAGTTATCGAAGGGGCGATATGATAAGGTATATCCAACCTCTGATCTCATTATGGCTGGGAACTCTGTTTGTTTGTTTTTTTTTCCACAGACAAGGTTTTGCTCTGTTGCCCAAACTGGAGTCCAGTGGCACAATCATAATAGCTCACTGTAGCCTCAAACTTTGGGGCTTAAATGATCCTCCTACCTCAGCCTCCAGGCATGTACCACCATACCCTGCTAATTTTTTAAGTTTTTTGTAGAGATGGGCTCTCACTACATTGCCCAGGTTGGTCTCAAACTCCTGGTCTCAAGCCATCCTCCTGCTTTTGCCTCCCAAAGTTCTGGGATTATAGGCGTGAGCCATTGTGCTCATCCAGAACTCAGTTTTTAAGGGGGACACTCTTGTGTCCCCTTGGCCTAGAAGGGGTTTCGTTCTGTCAGTTGAGGGACTTAGGATTTTTTCTATTTCACAGTATGGAGAATCCTATGGGCATATTTCAAAATAATTACATTTTCCCTGTCCATGCCCAAAACATGAATGGGTATTTCTCTTATCTCCACCACAAGAACCTGATGGGGCTCCTGGATTTAAAACCCACGAAAGTCTGAGGACCCTTAGAACTGAGCCCCCTGGAGTTTTTAACTCCCTCCTAGTCCACACTCAGCCTCCAGCAATTTGTCAATATTAGCATTAAAGTATTAATATTTCTACCAGTTACCAGCTTCAGTGGCTTCTGCTGTCTTTAAGCTGATTGCAGCTGTGATCCTCTGTATTTGCCTGTCTCTCCAAATTTCAGGTTGGCAATTTGACCTATGACTTCAATTTTATGATGAATCTAAGAAATGTTGTTGATTTTTTATTTCACCTGTTTTTTTCTTGTTGTGAAAACAGGAGAGACTACTTCAAAGCTGTGTCAACTTCTAGTTGAAACTGGAAGACCTACTTTATTTTCACAAAAGAAATAAATATTTTATACCATTTGCAAACTTGTCTGTTTCTTTAGAATAAATCATTAGCAGTTGAATTTATAGTCAAAGATTATGGACATTTTTAAGGCTTTTGATTCATGTTGCCAGATTGCTCTAAAAAATGTGCAATTTTACCCTGCTAGCAGTTGAGTAGGATTATTTTTAGAATTTTATAGATTTTGGAAGGTTTAAAAAACCACCAACCTAGGCCGGGCGCTGTGGCTCACGCCTGTAATCCTAGCTCTTGGGAGGCCGAGGCGGGCGGATTGCTCAAGGTCAGGAGAATAAAAAGGATGATATCACGCTGATCAAAGAGTACAAGATATACACGTAATGAATACTACAAAAATCTTTATCACCAAATTGGAAAATGGTGGGGAATGGACATTTCTGCAAAACACAGCTCCCTAGGTCAATCCAGAAGAAAATAGCTTCCCTGAACAGAATCTCAATAGCTGAAATAGAAACAGCAATATAAAAATCTCCCTAAAAGAAAAGTTCCCGTCAGATGGTTACACCAATTTTACCACACTTCAAATAAAATAGTACCTATCTTGCGAAACTATTCCAAAACATCGAGAAGAGGAAACCTCGGAACTTTTATGAGCGAAATATTACTCTGATCCAAACCAGGAAAGGTGAACAAAAAGAAAACTACCGGACCAATATCCCTAATGAATATAGTGCAAAATTTTCAACAAAATCTCTAGCTAACCGAATCCAGACGCTTATCAAAAATAATCCATCAAGACCAAGTGGGCTTATCCCAGGAATGCAGGATGGTTCATCCTAAATCTATAAATGCAATTCACCACATTAACAAAGCAAAACAAGACACGTGATTCTTTCAATAGTTGCATGAAAGCTTTTGACAAAATTCAACACCTTTCATGTACGAACCTAAGAAATAGGCCTA